CTTTTTTTTTTTTTTTTTTTGTCTTTTTTCGTGACCGGTAACGGGATCGCAACCCTCGGTGTCGCGCCCGCACTGCGCTCAACCAGTGAGCGGACCGGTCTCTATATGGGATCCGAACCGTCGGTGGGAGCGCACAAGTGCCGCACTCTACCGAGTGCGTCACCGGGCCGGCCTGGAAGAATGGATTCTTAAAAGGCTTCTTTCTCTAGCTCTGATTCTTACCTCACTTATTTAAAAATGAATCATTATTTTGAACTCTACCACTCTACACAGATTCTGGTATTTTCAGAATAGAGTTTTGAGCAATGTTCTCCCAAGTGTGTTCCACAAGACACTAGTGCTGCAAGATATTTGATAAGTGCTTTAAAAAAAAATACACACACACACACATACACACACAGGGTTCCCTGATTAAATAAAGCTGGGAAACACTGGGTTAAACGGAGTTTATCAGATTTTTTTACTGTGGGATTTGTCAGGGCCCTAATATGTTGCTATGACTCTCTAAGAGGGACCATGGTTGCTCACATTTCTCAGACATATTTATCTGTAGATCCTTCATCTCGCTATCTATGGAACACACTTTGGGATGCTGCTTTAGAATTTGGTGTACCACATATTTTACATCTTCTGCTCATATTCCTTTTCTCAACTCTAAATGGAATTGCTTCTTCTGTACTGTATTTTTGGTAAATTCACTAATTTTCACTTCTACAGCTAAGGGAATTTTTCTACCATATCAAATACATTTTCTATTCCTGCAACTGACCATTATAAACTTTTGGTTAATTGGTTTAGAATCACTTAAAGCAACAATTTTCTGACCTGAAAAAAGTCAAGTGTGTTAACTCATATTTAAAGAGCAAAACAAAATATTCCAAAATAAAAATTTTACATAAAACCCATGAGTTTGCCCATACACTTCTCCCCAACCAAATGGCATGAAGTTGAACTTAATGGTCATCATAGGAACTCTGATAAGCAGATATCATTATAACCTCAAGAAACCACAGCAATCACCATTGATAACCTGTACATTCTCTTATAATAAAACCATGTAAGTAAATAAATAATAAAATAAAAGTATATTTATCATTAAAAAAATCATATTAATTTGAAATCAGGAAAGCTATAAGTTTGGGAATACCATTTTTCTTTGAAGTGCATTACTCCTAGGGATTGCTAATATTCAAAGAAATCAAACAGTCTTCAAAGGATTAAACAGACTTCTAAATGTTAAGCAATTATTGGTTATAACATTTCATCCCTATTGAAACCTTACACTTAAATTTGGACTTCAGACATGATAAATCTTAAATGTAAGCATACTATACATATATAAATTTGAACTGAAGCAAAAAAAATTTTTTAATGCAGTGAGATTTTACAAAGTTCGTGTATCAAACTATGAATCCAAGCCTGTGGAAAAATTGGAAGGAACTCAAGTGTAAATCTGCATATAGACGTACTGGTCACATGGATTTGTTTCTCTCTGAATGTCTAAAAAATTTTACATTAAAAAGAATAAACTAAACCCCAAAATCACTTGATAACATCGCTCTGTGTGTCACATCATGGTGAAAAGCTGATACCTGAATCTCTTAAGTTAACCAAAATCAAAAATATTGCCTAAAATGACAAGTTTGATAAAATGTTCTCTAAGCTGCTCCAGTACTTTCTATTACAAATCAGAAAATTCAGTATCCCTTTTATATTAAACTTGGTTCCAAGTGTTTCAGGGCCTCCAACTAGGATCCAGCTTCAGGTTTCTGACATAGAAACCTTAATACAGCCTGAAGAATTCCCCTAGACACATCAGAAGTAATCAAATCTCATCTTAACTATTAAATTACAGACATTCAATTATGTTTTCCAGACCTCTGTTTAGAAATTCTAAAAGCCCTTTAGAAAAAACATCCTTATACCAAAGCTGAAGTTGGCAAGTGACACCGTTTACCTGCGAAAGCAACACAAAGAGGGGCCCTCGCGATCCCGGTAGGCACATGGCAAAGTGGCACGCGATGTACCCCATCCCCATTGTCAGGCACAAATTCTTTGTAACACTGGGAGACACCGCAGAACAAAAATACTATTAGAAATGCTTCAAAAGGAACATTTTTGGCTGCGATAGAGACTTTTGACATTATTTATTAGGTTCAAAACTGCTTCACAAAAGCCTAACAATGGTCCTGTGGAAACCAGTCCATCTGAGGCCCTTTCTGTTGTCCCGGGCAGCATTGATTGGAAGGCGCGCGGCGCTCGCGGAACAATCCCCTCGCAGCGGTCAGCGCAAGTGAGCATTCACCAGCGGCCTGGCCAGGGCCTGCGAACAAGCCGTATGGAAGCGCCGGGGAGGGCGGGGGGCTGCCGCGGAGCAAACCTTTGTTAACCTCTTGGGGGGACCCCGGGGGGACGCACCGACGAGCAGCGGAACGGGCGCTCCTGCCAGATTGCCGTGGAGGGAGGTGTCTGCCCCGGGCCTCCTTCCCCCCGGGAAGTGAGGATGCTCCGGGAGCGTCTCCGGTGCCATGGCAACCGCGCCTCTTCCGACTGGATTTCCGGACGCGCCTCGGCGCCGGCTTTGGAAACCTGTGTCCGCCGCGCTCAGCTCCTGCTCGGCTTCTGGGAAGCTCCGCCAGACGCTCCGCGGGGCCACGGGGATGTGGCTGC